GTGGACACCAAAACTGTATTTGAACCAGTGTTTGAACAGTGAACTCAGTAATGCCATAAACAGAAATATCTCCTCTCTCAACTCTTATTTATTGTTCGTATGTGTACATGCCTAAGGATCACATTTGCCTTCTTAGCAACAACATTGTGTTGGGAGCTCATATTCAACTGATTATCTACCATGATCCTTATGACCATCTCACTGCTTTCCAGAATAACAGCTCCCATCTTGTAAAGATGACCTACATTCTTTGTTCCTAGATGTCTGACTTTACATTTGGCTTTACAAAAATGCATGTTGTTCAACTCCACTCACAGTTCCAGTCCAGATTGCTCTATATAATTGACTTATTTTCATCATTATTTACCACAGCACCAGGTTTTACGTTATCTGCAAATTTTACCTGCAATGATTTTAGGTTTGCTGCCAGTGCACTTTTAGAGATAGTGAAGAGCAGAGGGTCAAAAACAGATTTCCTGTGGGCCCACTTAGAAACACCCTAACTAGCTGATAATTCCCTTTTTATAATCACTTTTTGATCATTATGAGTTAATAAATTTTTAATCCATTTAAAATAGTAGTATTTATTTTTTATAGTAGTTATTTTTTATTACAGTGTTCTGCAGGACTAAATCAAAAGTCTTACAGTACTCTACATATATTATGTAAACACAATGATTGTTTTTCAGCAAAATTTGTAATCCCATAAAGCATCAATATCAAGTTGGTTTGACTGATTTTTAATAAAAACATACTGATTCATATTAATTATGTTGCTATTTTTAATGTTTAATTTTATTCTTTATTATTTTAATTTTTTGTTTTATTAATTATTTATATCAGAGTTTCTATTATTTTTCCTGGGATCAGTATCTGCTACCTAGCCTGTAATCACTCAGATCAGTGTTTCTGAAAGTGTTCCCTGGAATCACTTTGAGAAACACATGAATTGGCTGTCCCGGTTTGCTTATTTACCAGCGCTGTGGCAACCTCACGGCTCCCATTGACTCCATTTCGCTGACTCAGAGTAGTCTTGTGGAACCTAAGCCCTGGCTTGCACTAGGACTTCATTTTTATAATAGTCCCCCCTTTCCCCGGTTGAATTTATAAGGGGAGTGTCCACACTACCAAATCCATTATTTCAAAATAACAGGCCGCAGAATTTTGAAATCTGTACTCCTGCTTTTCATCAGGAGTAACGCTAATTCTGAAATACTTATTTAGAAATAACAGTAGTGTGGATGCTCCAGTGCTGCTATTTTGAAATCATTACTCCCCAAAGTAATTTGAACGAATTACTCCCCAGTGCTTCCTGGGACTCTAAGTCTGAGGTAATGCATCAACATTAACAGAGCCTGCCTTGGACTAATTTTGAGGCTTCCCTGCAGTGTGGACACTATAGTTTGAATTTGTTAAATCTGGACTTATTAAGTCGAATTTACTAATTTTGAAATAGTTTCCCAGTGTAGACATGACCTTAGAGACTAACAAAATTATATAGGATTATGAGTTTTCATGGGTAAACTCCTTCATCAGATGAGTTGAAGTGGAAATAATATAGAGTAATAGAAGAGAGGTGCTAGGGGACGGGAGCTGAGGAAAGATTGATCGAGGTCAGCCATAAAAATGTTGGCATATTGTGGGCTTTTGTGGGTATCCGTAGCAGTGCTGCAGAATTGAAGGGGTAAATTGTCCTCAAATTGGAAATAGTTGTGGGTGAGGACAAAGCCACATAGTTCAGTCACCCAGTGTGCTGTGGTATCTTTGGGGATACTGTTCCTGACTGCTTATAGTCCATCCCCATGTGGAATGTTGATGTAAAGAGCTTCTACATCCATGGTGGCTAGGATGATGTTTTCAGGAAAAGTTTTGATAGGCTGTAGTTTCTACAGAGATGCGGTAGTTTCCAAAGACAGCTAGGAGTGATGGTAGCATGGAGTCTGAGGAAAAAGTCAACGTAGTCAGATAATCCTGCAGTAAGGGGCCAATGCCTGAGATGATGAGACATCTGGGATTTCCAGGTTTATGGATCTTAGGTAGCAGATGGAATACTCCTGACCAGGGATCTGGAGGTTCATTTGTGTACATTTGTTCTCAAGTTGTAGCAGGGAGTTTCTTGAGCAGATGGTGTAGTTTCTCTTGGTATTCCTCAGTGGAATCAGAGGACAGAGGCCTGTAGAATATGATGTTGGTTAGTTGTCTGGCAGCCTCCTGTTCACAATCTGACCTATTCGTGATGACTATTCTGGATATTCTTTAGCATTTCAAAATCTGTTGAAATAAGCATTATTGGTTCAGAAAGCTCCCAATTCTGCTGATTTAAAATATTTAATTTTAATAGCTATTTAATATTCTCTGTAGGTTGAATAGAAAGTATTTCCTTGTCACATTAAATATTAATACATTATTCTGATTTTTCACAGTACAAAACAAAAATAGACTATTGCTGCCTTTTCTGCATCACGATTGACAATTTTACCATCCTTATATATATATATGTATATGTTCCTGATATAGTTAAATAATTCCTTCTTATTGTCCTTATTCCTACAGACGGCATCTTTAGCTTCCTCTAGTAGTTGTCTACATTTCTTAACTGCTGATTTGTAGTCACAGCTATCTATGTTCCCATTTTTCTCTCTTACATAATTTTATTTATTTTCAATTGCTATTTTCATTTCCCCTCTTTACTAGGAGTTTAGGTTGAAGTGGTTATTATAACAACATAAAGGTATTTTGGCCCCACTTCAGGTAAGCACTTAAGATCCATTGAAGTTGACATACTTAGGTCCTGTTGAAGTTAAACTTGTGCTTTTGTACTTAAACCTTAGATGAATCAGGATCTCAAGGAGCTCTGAACTCTGCAGAGGAAGCACAAAGGGCCTCTCTTTACCGTACTGACTTTCAGGATTGGTCATTTTCTTCTCCAAAATCTTACAATAATACCTAGCATTTATACAGAAGCATAATGGGTGCATGGGCAGCACTTGGTCCCTAATGTACATATCTCTCTCCTTGATGTCAGTAGAACCTGGGTTTCATTCTCAAACTCTGAATTTGTCTGACTTCTGCTTCCAATCATTAGATTTTATTTTTAGTCTTCTCACTTTTTATTTTCTAACAGTCTCCCACTCTGTACTCCCAGTTGTGGAGTGCAAATACCTGTGTTCACAATTGTCCTCTATATGTCTCATTATCTTATCTGTAGGTGCAGTCAAGCAAGGACTCCTGTGCCTGGCATCAGTGGGATGCACAAAGATTTGCACTCACAAAATTACTAGTGCAACACAAGAAGCCAATTTCCAAAATCACAAAGAGAAATCTCATATTGGCCAGGCCAATAGGAGCTGTCCTAAACTTTCCTGAGCAGCAACCAGTTTTCAGGATAGCAGGATTTGAGCATTTGAGATACATTCAACTTTTCAAATGTATCATGAAATCATTCACAAGTTATGTAGTTTATAGCCTGCCTTCATTGTCCCTGCCTTCCTATGTCTGTCTATAAAGCAAGAAAAACTATGCATCTCTGCTGTATACCCCCTATAATTTTGTATTTGTCATGAATCTTCAGGATACCATGTGGCCAAGGTAGATAAAAGTGAGCACCACAGGTTTAAAGCTAGAGTTGGAATTAAAAACAGTGGGTCTGATTCTTCATTGCATTGCAGCTTATGTCATGATTTAAATATGCTGGCTACGTCTCGATTGGCATGATTTTCCGCAAATGCTTTTAACGGAAAAGTTTTTCTGTTAAAAGCATTTGCGGAAAAGAGTGTCTAGATTGGCACGGATGCTTTTGCACAAAAGCACTTTTTGCGGAAAAGCGTCCGTGCCAATCTAGACGCGGTTTTGCGCAAGAAAGCCCCGATCACCATTTTCACCATCTTCAGTAAGATTTTGTTTCATTTTGCATCTGAAAACGAAAGCTTGAACTGGAACATTAATGGAATTTTTGGAATTAAATAAATTAGAACATGACAGCCTCTGACAGATTGCATAGGTTGACCACATCTCACAGCTCGGGGGTGGATAAAGTTTGAGTTTACTCAGCTTCAAAAAATGCAGTTTTAAAAAAACCTATAGGGTATGTCTACACTGCAGGGTTTTTCCAGAAAAATGGCTGTTTTTCTGGAAAAACTACACTTATGTCCACACTGCTATTGTGTTCTTTCAACAGAAAATTGAAAGAAGGGAGGGGTTTTTCCGACAGCAGTAAGCCTCTTTCTATGAGGAAGAAACCTTTTTCTGAAAGAGCTTTTTCGGAAAAAGGCATGTGTGGATCTGGAAGAGAGTTTTTCGAAAGAAGAGGCCTCCAGGAAATAGCACAGGTGCCATGGTGGCCACTCCATCCAAAGTAATCAGAACTCTATAGTTCCTGTCTCCTGCTAGCTCTTAAAGCTGCAGGCATCCAGGACAAACCTTGTGGCAGGTAGCTGGCCC